GCCCCGCCGACCGCCCCCCTGATCTCACACCCGCAATGAACGACCCCTGCGGTAACCAACCAACCACCCCTGTCCTCCTCCCCTGCGCAGCCTCCTGATGTCCATGGGAGCCCTGCTCAACGACCGGCTGCCCCTCTGGCGCGCCGCGGACGAGCTGGAGGTTGAGATCCTAAACCCTGATCCGGACTACGGGCCGGACTACTTGGCAGATCCTCTGGTGGTCAAAGGCAAGATCGCGGTCTGCACCCTCCACTCCATCCTCACGGTGCGCGGATTGACGGGGAGTTTAGGAGACGCGGCGCCGTCGCGCCGCTGATGCCGGGGGCCGCACACGCGGGAGCGGGGCGGGGGCATGCAGGCTGGGTTGCTGGCGGGCTGGTGCAATGTGGGCGCCGGGACAAGGGCGCGTGGAAGGGCGCGGATGCGTGAGGAAGGGCGAAAAGTCAATGGGGCACAGCACGTTTGTTGTCAGCATCCCCCAACTCTCGCTTAAGTTGTCCCCACACACGCGGCGCCGCGACAGCTCCCCTGCCTCGCCCGCCGCGCCGCCCGCCCGACCGCCCGCGCACGCGCCCTCCAGGCCGCCACGCTCCTGAAGACGCCGGACGCCGCGGCGCGGCTGGCAGGGGTGCCCCTCTTCTTCACCGCCTGCGAGGGCGACAGGCTGACGCCCGCGGCGGACTTGCTGCAGTTTGTGGACCTGCTAAGGGAGGCGGGGCACGACAACCTCACGCTTGAGCTGCTGCCAGGTGTGTTGCACTTGCCTTCACTGAAGGACGCCGGCGCCATGTGGGGCGTGAGTCTGCAGATGCGGGGCAGAGGCGTGTTGAGGCGCCTGCGGATAGCCAGAGCCTCGAGACTGCCACATGCATGATAGCCAAGTGGCACGCCGCCCCGGCGCCTTGGCATTCGGCACCCCACCCAGCCAGCTACAGACCTGCCGTTGGATCTGAAGAGGCGAGACACACCTGGGAATTGCCCGCGCGCGCACACGCCTGCCATTCGTACTGCCGCACACCCTGAATCTCATCCACAGGCGATCGGCACGACCTGCTCTCAGGACGCGACGGCCCCGCAAATGCAGCAGGCATTGCCAAGTTCATATCTAAGAACATCTGATTGGGTAGACGCCAGCAGGCTTGCCCTCATCGTGCGCATTGGAGAGGCTGCTTTCTGTTTCTGTTATGAAATCTAGGCCAGGCGTTTGTGTAGGCGTGCATCTGCAGCTTGGGGTATTTGACTTAGTGGTGCCAGGGAGTGCATTTGATCATTTGGCACCACTGCAGTACGGTAGTGAGCACGTACATTTGCATGCTGCAATCACAAGCCAAGGACCCTCTTCAGATAGGAACAACGGCATCATGCATGTCAAGACCTAGGTGTTGCAGAACATGCACGGACAATGGATTTTATCTCTTAGTTGTTGACAAGACCAGACATCAGTGATTCACGTTGTCGCGCACTGGGTACAGTGCAGGTTGCATTGCGCCTGTTTACTTATCTATTGTGAGTTGATCTTGAGTGTAGACTATTTTTCCTGCATGAACCAATGTGTAAAGGCGGGCCCAGATAAGGGCCGGCACAAGCGTCACGGTTGCGAGAGTGGCCGATAGGGGCGCACACCAACGTGGGCTGAGCCGCCAGCACAGCTGCCACTCGAGCCGCCCATAGCGGACATGCACCGCGCTTTCCGCACAGCCAGGCGATGCAGATGCCTGAATACCCAGGCCGATGACCTTGATCCAAGGTTTGCCGCCGGCGAGTTATCATATTGGTGCCTTGGCCACACCGCTCGCCATGGCTGCTGTGCTCGGGTGAGTGCAGACCAAGGTTCAAAGGTAGTAAGGTGAGGTGCATCGCCACAAGTGCCCATGACTCTCAACGTTGCTCGTGTGCGTCTCAAAATAGCGTACAGAGACGCTCCCTTTTACCTATGTATGTGCCAACCGCTATAAGGCGAGATCGAGCTATCCAGATCAGTGAAGACCCGTTCTCAAGCTAACTACATGTCATGAAAGCAGTAGCGAGCAGTAAGTATACGATTGAATTTTCATAGTGCAGCTAAATGGAGGAGGAATGTGGTCATCACTTGCCAGTGTTTGAGCTGCCACAGCAAGGTGAGCGCCCGCATGCTGCGGTGCAACGCCGCGTCTCCTCCCCTCCGCCGCCCCAAACAGCGTGCCGACGCGGGCCCTGCACCTTCCACAGAATTTAGCAGGCCACCGCGGTCGACGTACGAGCCTGGCCTCGTGGGGCGGCCGCTGGTCATCGACAACGGTTCTCATTCGATCAAAGCGGGGTGCGTTCCCGCATGAGGGCGCAGCCGCAGCCGCGCCGCAGCTGCCGTGGCAGGCCCCGGCTGCCACGCACCTTGGCAGCTGTCCTGCAAGGGGCAATCGCCTTGGATGCTGCTGCCGCCTGTCCTGGAAGCGCGCTCAGCAGGCGTTTGGGAAGATACCAGCGCTGAAGCCTGCTTGCAGCACCAGCCAGCCGGTTGGGGCGAAGCACCATGCACAGGCGCCATGCACGGGCGCAGGCGCGGCCGCGCGAGGATAAACTTTGGCCACGGCAGCGAAGCCCCGCCCTGCCAAACGCGCGCCGGCCGCAGATGGGCCGGGGAGGATTCGCCGAGGCTCGTGTTCCGGTCGCAGGTGGGAGGCTGGCCTTGGCTGTGTTAGCAGTGTTTTTTTGACCCCCATGTCGCGCGCCTCAGGCGGGGCATCCACCAAGGCTGGGTGGCAGGGAGCAGGGCGGGGACCCACGTGGGGATGCGAGGGCCCATGCACAGTACCCGAGGACGACAGAGCACAAATAGGTTCTCAAGAGCGCGCCCGCGGAGCGGACCCAGCGCGCCGAGCGGGCGTGCGCGACCCCATGCGTCGGCGGGCGCCGACTCGACAGCGTAACCAAGTGCTTGAGAGCCACATTTGCAAGAGCGGGCACCGCTGGGTCACCCCGCATCAACCGATGTGCCCAACCAGCAGGCGTCCCCCTGGCTGCCCCACAGGTCACAAAGGTCAGGGCGCGCGCCGGCGGCGCCCAGCAGCGCACGTGCGTCGGCGAGTGGGGGCCCGGCGCCAAGGGCTGGGAGTTCAGCAAGGGCGCCATCAGGTGGGCTGCTCGCGCCTCGGTCCCACCCCGCGCCCCACCCCTGACGCCCGCCTTGGGGCCCCTGCGGTGGTGCGCCGTACTCGCGCCCGCAGCCCTCAAAATCGGCCCGACCGCTGCCGTGCTGTGCCGCGCCTGGGGGTCTCGTCGCCTCAACGCGCCTGCCGGCCCAGCGGTGGGCTGACAGCCGGACCGCCCGCTGAGCGCGCCGTTTGCTCACAATAGGGTCGCCTTGCCCGAGGCCAGACTCCGCTCCTGCCGGGTTGTGTTGATGCCCCACGGCATGCAACACGCCGGCCCCGCCCCCAGGACCCCTTTTGAGGCCGGCGTCGTCATCAATTATGAGACCCAGGAGGCACTGCTCGATTACGCATTCGACCGCCTGGCGGTGACGGGTGAGGCGACGCGTGGGTGACACGAGTGACGTGCGGGTGACGAGCGCGCGTGGCGCGAGTGGGAACCCCGGCCTGGCGGCGCCGCGCCCGCACGCAACTCGGGCATCCTGGTTTGGAGCTCGAGAGAGTTCCAGACAGGCACGAGGCGCGTGCTGCGGCAACCTGGGTTCGCACAAGGCGGTCCCTCGCAGCTTGGGAACCGCAGCTGATGTGCCAGAAGTTAACACGTCGCCCCGCCGGCGCCCCGCGTCCCTTTGCTCATGCGGCGCCGTCCAGGCGGCCGGGTGGACCACCCTCTCGCGGTCACCGAGCCGCCCCTGAACCCACACGGCGGCCGCGCCGCCTTTGCTGAGCTGGCGTTCGAGACCTACGGGGCGCCTGCGCTGCATTTCTTGGACCCGGGGGCGGCGGCGTTCAGCCTCTACCACTCGCAGGGCAGGTGAGGCGGCGGCGTCCCTGGGGGCTTTTCTAATTGCTGACTGTGTGGCTGGCTGGCTGGCTGGCGGGCTGGCCGGCTGGCTGGTCGGCTGGCTGGCTGGTCAGCTGGGTGGCTGGGTGACTGGCTGGCTGGCTGACTGCAGTGGGCGCGACGGCGCACAGCGGGTCCCCGGTGCCCCGCCGCACCCGCTTGCCGCTCGCCCTGAATTTCCTCGCCGACCGGCCGCCCGCCGGCCGCAGCATTGCGCGTGCGTGTCTGATTGGAACCCGAGATCAAACAAATTCGCATCCCCCACGCTCACGGACCTTTCCTCGTGCTCACCGCATTGCAATTCTTGGCCGCAGCCTGGGCTCGTCGGGCATCGCCGTCGTGGCCGGCCACAGCAGCACGACAGTGGTGCCGGTGCTCGACGGCCGCCCCGCATGGCACGCGGCAGCGCGGTCGGGCGCGTCCGGGGCGCTGCTGACCGACCAGATGCAGCAGCTGCTGCGGCTCAGGTGCGGGGCCTCGCCGCCGGCCGCCGGCCGCCGCGCCTGCTGAGCCCGGCGTCCCTTTCGCGTCTGCTTGCCGCACCTTGCACCTGCCAGAGTTCAGAAATGTATCCCTTCGCGGCCCCCTGGCAAGCTCTGCTGCACCGGAGGTCCTTCCCTGCTTCCCCTAGACAGCCGAGCCTGCGACTGCTCGCCCGACGCAACTACGCGTGTGGGCAGCTGGCGGGCACCTGTCAGGGCGCCCGCTGCGAAGCTGCGTCTGAGCCCCCGTGCGCGCCACCACAAAAGGCAAAAAGTCAACGCTTTGCAACCATAAGACTTTGAAAACTCATGCGCGGCAGGTACCCCCACCTGGCGGCCGGACTGCTGACAGACCAGCTGTGCGAGGCGCTCAAGGAGCGCCACTGCGCCGCGGCGCCGGACTACGGCGCGGCCCTGCGCGCGGTGGCGGCGCAGCCGGGCACCGCAGGTAGGCGCGTGTGCGCGGCTGTTGGATGCCCTTTGTGCGGCCCGCGCGAGCTTCGCCACAGGTATTAGGGCCTTTGCTCACAGCAAGCAGTGGGTGCTGGACCCTGCAGGTCCACTTTGCAGGCGGGGGTGGCTGCTGGCCGCCTGCTAGATTTGCCCTTCCCACTACCCGGCCCCTTGCTGACATCACCATTCCTCTGCGCACGCATACACACACACACACACACACACACACACACACACACAACAGGCGGGCAGGGTGTCCTGATCCGGCTGCCGCAGACGGGGCCTGTCGGGCCCACCGCCGAGGAGCTTGCACAATTAGAGGCCAGGAGGTGGGCGAGCAGCGGCGCCGCGCTGCCATGCTGACATCCTCGCAGTTGCTTTGTGATCTGATCAGTCTTCTGACCTGATTGGGTATGTTACCAGGTTGTTCCCGTAACTTGGGACCCTCACTTGGGGTGAACACCCCGCCCCCACCATGGCTGTGCCGCAGGGCCGCGCGGCTCGAGGAGGCGCGGCGGCGGGGCAAGGAGCAGGCGAAGCTGCGGCGAGAGAAGCAGGTGCGGCCGCCCCCGCCCAGGTTCTCGGCGAGGCAGGGTGCCCCTGACACCGCCCCGCCGCCGTCGCTGCCTGCTGCCTGGGCTGGAAGGGCGTCCTCCTCCAAAACCGCAAGGCTTCTTATCCACTCGGATTGAGGCTGCGTGCCGCTTTTTGTGTCCAGCCCTTGCCCCGCCGTCGTCCCGACCCCGCCTTCCGCTGACCGCCCGCGCCGACCGCCCGTTCCGCGTCGTGTCATTCAACTGTCAAACACCCAGCTGCGCGAGAAGCAAGAATATCTGGACTACATGCTGGGCCTGCGGCAGCAGGTGGGAGGCCTGAGCATTGCACTCATTAGGGCCCCGGGGGACTCAGCACGCACAGGCCGTGCTCCTCGATCCTCCTCGGATGGCATCGGCCAGGGCAGGGGGCCGGGCGGCGCGCGGCCCCGCACACCGTGCTATCATGATTGCGGAGGCCGATCGCGATCCCGCAGCTCTTTGTTTCTCATCGCTTGCCACAGCCGCACCCGGGAAGGCCGCGCCCACGCGCCGCCGTTCCCCTCCCAGCAGAA